GTGTGTGTGTGTGTGTGTGTGTGTGGCCAGCTCAGCCCACCAGGGGGCGGGGCTGGCTGGCATGTGGTGCTGGGGGATTGAACTGTGGTCCCTGGGCTTTGCTAAGCTTGTTCTAAGTAGGTGCTTTAGACCACTGAGCCATCTCACCAGACCTGGAAATGAATTCTTATAAATGATTTCTTTTATAAAATGGAAAGAGACAACAAGATGAGCTAATTAAAATTGTATCTAGGGTTTTCTGTTTTCCTTTAGCCAAATCTTTCACACAAAGTCAGCATTATCTGAGCAGTTCTAGTCCTAAAACTGGGTGGGAGGGAACCAAGTGATGATTCAAATGTCATCCTGAAGTAGTACAAAACAGTGAGTGGGAGTCTTGATGGTGTTGGAGGCCCTAGCATAGCACTGCCATACTAAAGTCTGGCAGTGGTGAGGTGTAGGGCTTAGTGGAAAATGGCCACCATTTGTCCACATCTCTGTGGTACTCCTATTCCCAAAATCCCCACAGGGTGTCCTGTTGATCAGCCAAGTGGTCTTGAGCCAGTGGAAAGTCTGCTCCCAATCCCAATGGAGAACATGAGATGAAAGCATGCGGGGAGCAAAGGCTTTCCCAGTTCTCTGTACATTTCCAGGTGTTACTCTGAAGCCCTCTTACAAAAATGTATGCCAGTGTCAGAAGACAGGAGAGCAAAAGGTGACATTTGTTAACAAAAGAGCAAAGAATGTGACTCTCCACCTCCAGATCTAATAGTGATTCCTTTCCAGGGCGAGGAGAGAAGCACAATGTGCTTAGTGTTTGTGTATGTGTATGATGTCCCTTGTACAAAATATGGGAAGGACGCTGCCCCCCAATAACACTGAACTCACAGGGCCTAGGAATGAGAAACATATAGCCAACAGAGAAATGGTGGGTGGTGGATGAAAGACTGAAATTCTGCCTGATTCTTTGAAAATACTCATGAAAATGTAACTGTTTTATCTTATTCCAATAGGATAGTCAAAGGCTCAACATATTCAGGGCTGGGCTATGGTGCTCAGAACAAAAAAACATTCTGCTGAAAGAATTTAGGGAGATGACATTCCTAAGACAAAGTGGCCACATATTTCTTCATCAAAACAAGAATTTAAGACCTACTCTTTTGTAACATTTGCAAACACATGTTAAAATAACAAATGAAACTTCTTCTTGAGAGTGAAAAAGAGCTTTCACATAGTCATCATAATAGAGTAGAGGTAATTCTCTATCTTTACAGTTGTCGGACTTTTTTTTCTGTGCTTTTTATATTGATATCTAATTTGTCCACTTTGGTTGTCAGTCGGTCAAGAATGTCATTTTGCTCTTCAATTTCTGTCTGCATCCCCAGAGCTATGTCCTTCAGACGGCCTAGTCCCATGGACAGTTCATCTAGGAGAGAAGAAAATGACAAATACAGTAATGGCACCTGGAAAATACTTAGTCCCTCCCAGGTATTTACATCTGGATTATTTTTATTATTATTATTTTTCTTCTAAAACAGGCTAAGCTTCAGGGCTTTGTTACATTTTCTAAAATATGTGGGAGTGAGATGTTTACTTAATAACAAGTATATAGCCAGGAATAGTGGTGCATGGCTATAATCCCAGCACTCAGGGAAGCTGAGGCAGGAGGATCACAAGTTTGAGCCCGGACTGGGCAATTTAGTGATTTAGCATGATCCTCTCTCAAAAAGGGCTGCGGATGTAGCTCACTGTGAAGGCTTCAATCTGCACTACCAAGAGGGTAAAAAAGTAAAAGAGACATTTTGCTCACCTATTCTAAGATAACCACTCTTTTCTGAATTGTGTCCAGTGGTCTACCCACCCCCCACTACTCCCCTGCAACAGTGACAGAATCCAGGGCTTCAGGCATGGTAAGCAAGTTGCTGTACCACTGAACTATATCCTCAGCCACTTTCAGTCTTTTAGAAAAATGCACATAGGGACTTGGTGAGATAGCTCAGTGGTCTAAAATGACTGCTTAGGTAAGTGCAGGGACCACAGTTCTATCCCACATGCTGCACTAGCCTTGACCCCAGGGTGGGATGAGCTGGTCACAGAGTCTGGGCATCTGTAATCTCAGCTCTGAAGAGGCTGAAAACAAGAGGATCACTGAGTCTGAGCTGCGTAGTGAGACCCTGTAACAACCAAATACATTTAAAAAAAATAATAATCAAAAAGAAAAGTGCATATGTACCCACACAATTTTTAGATGCTTTTGGACAAAATACAATACAGTGGTGGTGAGTCTAAGGCATGCATGCTGCAGTAGGTACTCAGATCCCTCTAACATGTCAGCACATGAATCAAGTTTTCTCAGCAGCTGAGCATCAGTAACAATTTTTTTTTATAAGCTGAAATCTCATTATTGAGGTTTAATTGTGGAGTTGGCAGTTTGCAATAAACAGGTGGGCTTTGGTTTGCAGTTTGGACTTTCAGACTTAAAAGGTTTGCCAGCACTAATCTAGTAGGTTGCTATACATTTCAAGATCTGTTAATACCCAAGGAAAAGAAGAACAGAACAGCTTGAAGCACATTCTGCTCCCATACATCATGGGGAAGATAAGGAAGAGGACACTGGTCACTATCTTGTCCAGGTTGGGCTCAAGGAATCCTTTTGCCTCTCTCTCCCACTCTCTTGTGGTAGTGGTGGTACCTAGGGTTGAAAGCAGGGCCTCTGGACTGGGCTATATCCCAGTCCAGAGATAGGATACTGTTTTTAAAATTTTAATTTGAGATAGGATACTGTTAAGTACTCAGTTATCCATTCTGGGCTTGAACTTGTGGTACTGCTGACTCAGAATCACAGAAGGCTGGGATTACACGTATGTGCCACAACATCCAGCCTCAAAAATTTGACTCTTGCAGTAGATTACACCACCGTTGTCAAAATTCAGGTTTAAACATGATGAGCAAGTAGCCTAGTTCCAAAGGAGGAAAGTGTAGTACAGAAGAAGCATGGAGGATCCAAGTCCATTCCACTGTGTCCAAGTTCATATACTGTCTGTTTTTTGTGCACGTTCTGGCCTGCCCAAGACTCAATCAGAGCTGAGGTGAGCAGAGGAAAATGCCCAGGAGCAGACTGACTATAACTAGCCACAGAGTCCTGACTTACTGTGCTTCCCTCTTTAGGTCTTCCGGTTCTTTTCTTTTCTTTTTCAGTGGGGACTGACCCTAGAGTCTCTGCATTAAGCTACATCCTTATCCCTTTAAATTTTTTTTTTCCAGTCTCAAGGCAGTGTCTTGCTAAGTTGCCAAGGCTGGGCTTGAACTTGCTGTCCTTTTGCTGCAGCATTTGAAGGTTATATGTGTGCACCAACACACTCAGTTTTATTTATTTTTGAGACAGAGTCTCACTCTATAGTCCAGGCTGGCCTTGAACTCATGCAATCCTCCTGCCTCAGCTTCCTGACTGCTAGGATTACAAGTGTGTGCCACCAAGCCTGGCCTAACATTCACTTTTAAGAGAGTTGTCTACAAGGACTTAGCTAGCCTTAGGAGTGTGAAAAATATACTTGGTACAGGATGATGCAAAACATGCTGCATGTGGTAGTACACACCTGTAATCCCAAAATGATATGAAGAGGGTGTGGGAGTGAGGGGGAGACACACTGAGGGGCTCTAGTGTCCCCTGGCAGGGCTTACCAACTGCTGAGTCTTAACTGACTCCACCAAAGGGGAGTAGATAAAGTCTTCTTCCTTGTTGTTACAGAGTGGGTATGCTCAAGTGCCTTTGTGCACATGCATGTGCACTCAGGTAGGGATACACCTAGGTCTTCTCTCTATCCTTGCATTGAGAACAGTGGGCTAGGAAAGAGCCAGAGGTGCGAGAGAAGAGGTGGTGCTTTGTAAGGCCCCTTAGTTACAATAAAAATATTTCTCACTCAGACCACGACTCTATTCAAAATCAGACTTTGGCTTTATGCTCCTTGGTTTAGTTTTTTTTTTTTTTTTTTCTTTTTTAAACAGGCTCTTTCTAAGTTAGTCAAGACTGGCCTTAAGCTCACTGTGTAGCCCACAGTGATCTTGAACTTGTAATCCTCCTATCTCAGCTTCCATAGTCCTGAGATTATAGGCATATACCACCATTTTTGGCTTCTTTGCTTCTTGAGATTACTGTTGTTTTTTTTTTTTTTTTTGGTGGAACCGAGGATTGAACTCAGCTCCTTGTGCTTGCCAGGCAAGCGCTTATTCTACTGAGCTATCTCCTCAGCCCCTTCTTGAGATTATTGAAACCCATGACCTTGTGTTTCATGTAAAACCTATGTGATCACTTCAGGCATAAGGGAGCTTCTCAGGATCCAAGACAGAAAAGGCTAGGCAAACAACTAGACTAAGATTAGAAAAAATGATAGGCAAGGAAGTAGAAATGAGAGGTGGATTGCTGGAATGCTGAGATTCTCTCTTTTCCCTTCCCCTGCCAACACGCATCGAAGATACCATGGTTTGCTGCCCCTCCCTTTCTCTTGATGAAGGATGTTATGGATTGTGTCTAGTTGTTGCCCCAAAGCCTCATGCAGTCATGGGGCAGACTTCTAGACTTTGTGATTAATTCATGATCCAGTTCTGGGATTATGTGTGTGAGTGCTATACCCTGCCTGAGGCAGAGAGCCTAAATGCAATGTAAGAGAGACAGACTTGCTTTCTGTACCCACTGCTGCCAATGTGCCTACCATTTTGATCTTGCTGTTTTCTGCCACCATGAACTGCTGCTCTCTGACATGTGCCACTCTGCCTTGGAACTAGCTGAGTATGGAATGAAGCCTCTACTAACTGTGAGCTAAATAAATCTTTACTTTCTTAATTTTAGGTGTCAGGTATTTTGTCCCAGTAATAAGAGTAACAGACAGAATTTGGTAACAGAGAAGTGGGATCATTGCTGTGACTATCTGACCATGTGGATTATGAGCTTTTGGGAATGACTCATAGGAAGAGATAGGAAAGGTTTGGAGATGTTGCCTACAAGAGAAATGCTGGGGCAGCTTCAG